GATGTAGTCTCATGTAGTGTAACATGTGTGTTGACAGGCAGAAACCTCACCTAGTATGTGCCTGATGTAGTCTCATGTAGTGTAACGTGTGTGTTGACAGGCAGAAACCTCACCTAGTATGTGCCTGATGTAGTCTCATGTTGTGTATACGTGTGTGTTGACAGGCAGAAACCTCACCTAGTATGTGCCTGATGTAGTCTCATGTTGTGTAACGTGTGTGTTGACAGGCAGAAACCTCACCTAGTATGTGCCTGATGTAGTCTCATGTAGTGTAACGTGTGTGTTGACAGGCAGAAACCTCACCTAGTATGTGCCTGATGTAGTCTCATGTTGTGTAACGTGTGTGTTGACAGGCAGAAACCTCACCTAGTATGTGCCTGATGTAGTCTCATGTAGTGTAACGTGTGTGTTGACAGGCAGAAACCTCACCTAGTATGTGCCTGATGTAGTCTCATGTTGTGTAACGTGTGTGTTGACAGGCAGAAACCTCACCTAGTATGTGCCTGATGTAGTCTCATGTAGTGTAACATGTGTGTTGACAGGCAGAAACCTCACCTAGTATGTGCCTGATGTAGTCTCATGTAGTGTAACGTGTGTGTTGACAGGCAGAAACCTCACCTAGTATGTGCCTGATGTAGTCTCATGTTGTGTAACGTGTGTGTTGACAGGCAGAAACCTCACCTAGTATGTGCCTGATGTAGTCTCATGTTGTGTAACGTGTGTGTTGACAGGCAGAAACCTCACCTAGTATGTGCCTGATGTAGTCTCATGTAGTGTAATGTGTGTGCTTGTGTGTGTCATTGTGCGTGTTTGTTTGTTTTGTTTATCTCTGTTTTATTGTTCAATCTTCATAATTTCCAGTGTTTGATGTTTGCTAATATGTAACCTTGTTAGAGATGTTCTTTAACAAATAAAACAATACCACTGTAATGTATAGTGATGTGTGTGAGTGTGTATTACCACTGTACTGTATGGTGTCGTTATTAGGTCTCGGGTTAAGTGCGATTCTAGTGCAGTAATCTTTTGTCGTGTATCTTTTTAATATATTTCTGTCATTTGTATCGCACTCTTTTAAATAAAATATAAAAAAAAAACTGCCTAAAATATACTTTAGTTTTGACATTAATTCCTATTTTAGGGATCAAATTATTTTTGATGTTAACGTACAATTGCATTACAGTCTCATTTACGCACATTAAGCCCAATAAGCTTTAAACTTAAGAAAGTAACTATGACAAGATGGGAACACTGATGAGTGTCATGGTCATGTTATTGTAATGATCAGCTGACACTCCAGTAGCTCACTGGTCACCAGTGACGGTGGAAGTCTTGCTGGTGTTACGCTCGTTATTCTCACTCGTTTAATACTGTCGTTTAATATTCATTGCAACATGTTGATAACTAAGAAATTTTTTCTATAGTGACAGAAAAATATTATTGTGTAACTTTTTGCCGTTTCATATTTGTTTTGGGAAAACAACTACGAACTTCACAATAGAAAATATAAGTTAAAGTCCCGGTATTTTACATATATTTGTTTAATATATAAGTAATGGAGTCTAGTATAATATACAGGATGAAGTTGTTAGTTTAGAAAGTTAATGTATCGCCGCTGTCCATCATGCATCTCTGAAGTTGGTAAGAAGTGAATTGCTTCTTTTTTTTTCACGGTATGGGTGGTGGTGCGTGACCGTGGTGGTGCGTGACCGTGGTGGTGCGTGACTGTGACTGGTGGTGCGTGACTGTGACTGGTGGTGCGTGACTGTGACTGGTGGTGCGTGACCGTGGTGGTGCGTGACTGTGACTGGTGCGTGACCGTGGTGCGTGACTGTGAATGGTGGTGCGTGACTGTGACTGGTGGTGTTTGACCGTGGTGGTGCGTGACTGTGACTGGTGGTGTGTGACCCTGGTGGTGCGTGGCTGTGATTGGTGTGTGTGACCGTGTTGGTGTGTGACCGTGTTGGTGTGTGACCGTGGTGGTTCAACAGATACGTCGCCGTAATTGTGTTGACATGTCTTCACAAAAAAGGACTTTGAGTGGTGAAGTGTTGCTGGTGGTGTCAGCGAAGACACTCGACACTGCCGATGAAAACACTGAAGCAGTTATACAAGTTAATAAGCACAAGTTGTTGGTGAGGGAATAAATAGCGACACAAGCAAGTTTCCCGATGATATCAACACCCAGTTATTTCTCGTTAGAACACTAAAATCAGAATCAGAATAATTTTTATTTCTTTGCTGAGGTTACAATGTCTGTTTACATTTCATAATTTAATTGATACAAAGACAGCCACTATCATGCCGAGGCATTTCGGGCAGACTTAACCTAATACAGGTGAAGAGTGGTAAAATACAAATAATCAATATTTTACTCTATTAATATTAGATAGCACAATTTATGATACAAGGACATTTTTAAGTTTGTAATAATAGCTTAAGGATAATAAAATATTTGGGAGAGTTGCTTTAAATTAGGTTCGAGTTTAGCATAGTGTAGGTCTGGTTGTTATTAAGAGAGGAGATGATTACTGAGTATAATCCTAAATTGATTTGTGGGCAGGGGACCTCTTGCTGTTTCAGATGTTCTGTATATATAGTAGGCACAATAAGTATGAATATTTTGTATATTAAGTAAGTTCAAGCCTTTGAAGAGTGATGGTGTGTGTTGTGTTGTCTGGTGCTGGAGTTTGTGATCATCCGCACTACCGCTTTTTGTTGGGTATGGTTGTGTAACCAGGTAAGGCAAAGATATCGGTTGAGTTATCTTGTATGACAGCAGCACTACCAGCGGCACCAGTGGTCTGGTGACCAGAACAATCAACATAAATAATTTGTGTAAGAGTGTGCTGTGTGACTTAGTTATCAGTAGAGCCTAAGGCATCATGTTTGGCTTCAAGGCGAAGCTTTGATTGTGATTTAAGAAGTATTTTGGGGGGAAACGGGGGGGGGGGGAGGGTAGCTTGGAATGGGGTAAGATCCCATGGAGCGGGGAAATACCACTGTTGCCTTACTCGACATAGATCATGTAGCTGGTTCATGTGGAAATCGGTTCGTTTCCTCGATCCACCTGGAGGGTGTTTACCAGTTCTGAGGAAAGTTTGGAGGGCTTCTGTGCAAGGGGGGAGGGGGGTTGAATGGGCTAGCCTAAGCATGAGGATATTTATTTCAGTAACACGATCTCTGATGTTTAGAATATAAAGTTCTTTCTGCATATTTAAAATTTTAACACTACGAGGGCATCCTAGGATGATCCTCATTACTTCGTTCCACAGTTTTTCCAGCCTCTGACTGGAAGCTTAGTCTCAAGAGCAAGTAGTGGTGCAGCATAATAGTCATTCGTCAGGCTTCAAACACGTATTATTGTACAGCAGTAAGGAGTGAAACAGGTTATCTGCACATGTCAAAGCCTGTCACTCCACGATCCAGTTCAAGAAGACACCCAAAAGGTACCTAATTAGAATGTGGCTACAGAAAGGGGGGAGAGTGATTTCTTGTATATCTAACATACATGTACTATGATCTGATCCTATCTCTAATGTAGCTAAATTTACCTTTCCCCTAGTATATCAACTTTTATTATAACTACTTTTCACATAGTTAAATTACATACCTGTTTTAACTTTGTTTTAAATAAAAAGTTATCACAAGGACCCCAATGGAAATAAGTCACTTCATATGATTTTTGGGGGGTTATCCTTATCCTTGGTAATCTACACACGTGCTATTATGTATGATAATTTATGCAATTGTATTTGTGTACCTGTACCTGAATAAACTTACTTAATGGCCCGGTGGCTAAAGCTCCCGCTTCACACACGGAGGCCCGGGTTCGATTCCCGGCGGATGGAAACATTCGACACGTTTCCTTACACCTGTTGTCCTGTTCACCTAGCAGCAAATAGGTACCTGGGTGTTAGTCGACTGGTGTGGGTCGCATCCTGGGGGACAAGATTAAGGACCCCAATGGAAATAAGTTAGACAGTCCTCGATGACGCACTGACTTTCTTGGGTTATCCTGGGTGGCTAACCCTCCGGGGTTAAAAATCCGAAATCTTAAATCTTAATAGGCCACAAAATGCAAATAATTTTATGCGAGCATCAATCTTACGATCATCTTCCTCTAAAATCTGATATTAAAATCCCAATGAAATAAAACGTTGTCCATATAGTCCTGCAGATCACTTCCATGACCATTTTCCAACAAAGGAAAGTTTAATCTGCTATTCTGGATAATTATTAGTTTATTATAAACCCTATAAAAAATTGGTACTAGAAAGTTTTGCCACTGCACGTGGTACCAATATCTGCTCTGGCCAATGGACTACTTGCATTAATACCCCTTCGCCAGCATAAAAGGGGTACCCTTTGAAGGGGTAGCATGGCTACCCCTTCAAATATGTTAGCTACTGTAATCTGATGGGTGGTGTCCATGGGAAATAAACTTCTGGGTGAAATTTAAGATAGACTTCGTCTAACCTTGTAAAATGTCATGGATATGATTTTGATAATGAAAAGAAATCCTGCACTTTTAGGAACAGTTAAATTAAACGTGGGGTAACCATTCATGATCCACCATCCTGCCTGACTAAGTGAACATGGATATAGCTCTTGCTGTAGCTTTGCAATTTATATAAAAAACAGGGTAACCGAACATTTGAGGCATATCTAAAATTAACAGTAAAAAAAAAGTCTAGTATAGACTAGCTATCTTCACATCTAGAGTCCTAGATTATGGTACAGGATGTTGGTGAAATGCCAAATTTTACGAACAGAAATTTTGTTTGTAAATTGTTTGGTAAATAGCTTATATATATATATTTTTTTATTTTTTAAGCCTTTGGCTATTTTTTTTTTGTCGCATGGCATGAGAAATTATAGACGTAGCAGTAGTTTTTATTTCTTAAAAGTGTTAGTGTTATGCGAAATTACCGAGAATGTGATGCTCGAGTCGAGACGGATGTTGTGTGCCAGCATCCGCTCCATGACAATGTATGCACAGAGGTATACACAAGACAAGCCACAAGTAGCTTGTCTTGCATTGTTAAGATCACCTGTCTCTTATTGTTTGCGCAGAGGTTTGATATATATATCTGAATATACACACTTAAAAATTTACTTTAATGCTTATTTTAGGGATTAAAATATTGATTGTTGGTGTACAGGTGAAAATACAGCCTTAATAACCCATATTCAGTTAAGTTTTTATCCCATGAAAGTAATTGCCTAGACAGAAAGAATAGCTTAATTTTCATGTGCTCATTGTAAGTGCCCAGACATTGTTTTCTCAGACTGCTTAGAGGTGAGTTGTTCTGAACATTTTTAATTTTGTTTCGTCAGAAACGTTTATTTATTTTTTAGTTGCGAGATGAAGTTAAAATAGTACTTTTTTTTTTTTTTTTGCTGTAGTCCTACGTGACGGGTGTTTTTTCTTACTCTTAATCGTATGATGACCTCAGTGACTTCTTGGAGGGCGACTAGTACATGTCTCAGTGGAGAAGGTAAGGTAAGACCATGCCGATTCTGACCCCGTATCGGAGACTCCTATGGTTCCGGCCCTGTAGCTGGGGGGAGGGGGACTGTGATACTGGCCTTTAGCGGTGGGCCGCGTCCTGTAGCAAGGGGCTGACTAGGGTTTTGCCGTTGTAGCAGTGAGCATCCGTGAGTAAGTTTATTCAGGTACAGATACACATAGTTACACAAATTACACGACAGGTATCCAAGAATTAGCTACAAGCAGTATTAAAACAGGGAAGTGTTTTTGGGTATTTCCAAATCAGATAAATCTGTGGACTAAAATCACATTGGTATTAAAAGAGGATAACATCAAAGCTGCTTTCATAGACAACCTGGAAGCTTTATACAACATATTACCTGGAGACCTGGAGAGAGTTCCGGGGGTCAACACCCCCGCGGCCCGGTCTGTGACCAGGCCTCCTGGTGGATCAGAGCCTGATCAACCAGGCTGTTGCTGCTGGCTGCACGCAAACCAACGTACGAGCCACAGCCCGGCTGATCCGGAACTGACTTTAGGTGCTTGTCCAGTGCCAGCTTGAAGACTGCCAGGGGTCTGTTGGTAATCCCCCTTATGTGTGCTGGGAGGCAGTTGAACAGTCTCGGGCCCCTGACACTTATTGTATGGTCTCTTAACGTGCTAGTGACACCCCTGCTTTTCATTGGGGGGATGGTGCATCGTCTGCCAAGTCTTTTGCTTTCGTAGTGAGTGATTTTCGTGTGCAAGTTCGGTACTAGTCCCTCTAGGATTTTCCAGGTGTATATAATCATGTATCTCTCCCTCCTGCGTTCCAGGGAATACAGGTTTAGGAACCTCAAGCGCTCCCAATAATTGAGGTGTTTTATCTCCGTTATGCGCGCCGTGAAAGTTCTCTGTACATTTTCTAGGTCGGCAATTTCACCTGCCTTGAAAGGTGCTGTTAGTGTGCAGCAATATTCCAGCCTAGATAGAACAAGTGACCTGAAGAGTGTCATCATGGGCTTGGCCTCCCTAGTTTTGAAGGTTCTCATTATCCATCCTGTCATTTTTCTAGCAGATGCGATTGATACAATGTTATGGTCTTTGAAGGTGAGATCCTCCGACATGATCACTCCCAGGTCTTTGACGTTGGTGTTTCGCTCTATTTTGTGGCCAGAATTTGTTTTGTACTCTGATGAAGATTTAATTTCCTCATGTTTACCATATCTGAGTAATTGAAATTTCTCATCGTTGAACTTCATATTGTTTTCTGCAGCCCACTGAAAGATTTGGTTGATGTCCGCCTGGAGCTTTGCAGTGTCTGCAATGGAAGACACTGTCATGCAGATTCGGGTGTCATCTGCAAAGGAAGACACGGTGCTGTGGCTGACATCCTTGTCTATGTCGGATATGAGGATGAGGAACAAGATGGGAGCGAGTACTGATATGGGAACATATAAAGTCTGGGCTGAATGGTACTGCCCTTGATACTGGCCATGTAGTCAGAAACTGTAAGGCTGGAGGTGATGTCCTGGTAGTCAGTAAATGTGGGGCTGATAGTGCTGTCCTGGTAGACAGTAATGGTGAAGCTGGAGGTGCTGTCCTGGTAGACAGTAACGGTGAAGCTGGAGGTGCTGTCCTGGGAGACAGTAATGGTGAAGCTGGAGATTTTGTCCAGGTAGTCGGGAATTATACGCAGGAAGGAATGCATTATAAATGACTTCATGGGAGACAGGAGCCGTAGTGGGGAAACAAGTGTAGTCAAAGATAAGATAAAACCAATATTGCAAACTAGAAATACCACAGGAAATAGCAAACAAGAGGACTCCACTAGCAATAGTGAGGATATATTACCAAAAACAACTGGTGGGAGCTCCATTGTTGGTGCTAGGGAGGATAGGAATAAGACAGGTAAACATGCACCAACAGGGAATACAGTCACAGAAACCCAAGGCAAACGGAAACCAAGCCTGTGCACATACTATGCACTTGGTATCTGAAGGCATGGGAAGTCTGGAAAAACAGATGGGACCACCCTAGAAAATGCCGTGCCCATATGACAACAGGAAAATGCAAACTCACTCCCTGTAAGCTTTTTCACCCTGAAATGTGTACCTCTTCAATACAGGAAAGACTGTGCTATAACTTAAATTGCCAGGCACACCATCTAAAGGGGACAAAAAGATACAAAACATCCAGGCCATGGGAAAACCTGGGTAGCCACAGCCACTCAAGAGGGAGAGGTTTTTTAGTGCCAGGAAGGAAAAAAAACTGGCAGGAAATGGCAGAAATCGTACACCAAATCCAGTCATTCCTTGAGTGGAACCACAGTCGATGGCCTCCACTCCAACAAACGATACAGATACTATGCCGGAAAAAAATCCCCCCCAGTACCAACAAGACACTAGTCCGATAACATTCTTCTTTGCAAATATACAGGGTCTAATCTAAAGCCAGCAACAAACTACAAAATACCTTTCATCCGTGGACTGATTGCAGAGGCAAAGGCAATGTTCGCAGCTTTCACTGAGACTCGCATAAAGGATCACTTGGACAACGAAATATGGATCCCAGGTTACAACCTATACAAATGCGACAGAGTGAACAGCAAAGGGGGGTGGGGGTTGGGCCCATACATTGCAGAGTCACTTGTTTGCACAGAACTGCTTAATGCCTCAAATGATGTATGGAAGTTTTAGCAGTAAAGATCCGAGAACCAAAACCTAGTCTTGTTGTAGTCTACAAGCCTCCGGATGCAACATCCCAGCAATTCCAGGAACAGCTGTTAAAAATTGACCACTGTCTGGAAAAATCTGCCAGCTCCTGCACCCAACATCTTGCTCCTGTAATAAAGTTGGTAGAATTACCAACAATATGTAAAGTAAAAGGACACAAGTGCAACTAATGTGACATTTATTGTGGCAACGTTTCGCTCTCCAGGAGCTTTATCAAGCCATTGAAATGGCTTGATAAAGCTCCCGGAGAGCGAAACGTTGCCACAATAAATGTCACATTAGTTTTCACTTGTGTCCTTTTACTTTACATCTTGCTCCTGGGAGATTTCAACTTAAGGCACCTAAAATGGAGGAATATAGCAAATAATATTGTTGCAGTAATAACACCAGGAGGCAGCTCTGATGAAAACTCACACTCACACGAGCTTTTAAATCTCTGCACAAAATTCAATTTAAACCAGCAAATAATAGAGCCTAATAGACTGGAGAATACACTAGACCTCATCTTCACTAACAATGATGATCTGATACGAAATGCCACCATATCAAAAACAGTATACTCAGATCACAACATAATTGAGGTTCAGACATGTATGCGCGGAGCCCCAGACCGACATAATGAGATTAGTCACGAGGGAGCACTCACCAAATTCAACTTCAATAACAAAAACATAAAGTGGGACCAAGTAAACCAAGTCCTAACCGATATAAGCTGGGAAGATATACTAAGCAACACAGACCCCAACTTATGCCTAGAACAGATTAACTCGGTGGCACTCGATGTATGCTTAAGGCTTATTACTCTAAGAAAAAGGAGGAGTAGATGTAAATAGAAAGAGACAGGCGCTCCCTTTACAGGCGACGGAAAAGAATAACAGAGCGGCTAAAAGAGGTCATTATATCTGAAATGCATAGGGAGACACTGGTCAGAGAAATAGCAAGCATCGAACTTAAGCTAAAGGAATCTTATAGGAGTCATGAATCGCGGGAAGAACTAAAAGCCATAAATGAAATCGAAAGAAACCCAAAGTATTTCTTCACCTATGCCAAATCAAAGTCGAGAACAACGTCCAGTATTGGGCCCCTACTTAAACAAGATGGGTCCTACACAGATGACAGCAAGGAAATGACCGAGTTTACTCAAGTCCTAACATGACTCAGTTTTTAGCAAGCCGCTAATCAGACTGAGAGTCGAAGATCAAAATGAATTTTTTTATGAGAGCCACAGAATTTGGTTAACACAAGCCTATCTGATGTTATCCTGACGCCAAATGACTTCGAACAGGCGATAAATGACATGCCCATGCACTCTGCCCCAGGGCCAGACTCATGGAAACTCCGTGTTCATCAAGAACTGCAAGAAGCCCCTATCACGAGCTTTTGCCATCCTATGGAGAGAGAGCATGGACACGGGGGTCGTCCCACAGTTACTAAAAACAACGGACGTAGCCCCACTCCACAAAGGGGGCAGTAAAACAATAGCAAAGAACTACAGACCGATAGCACTAGCATCCCATATCATAAAAATCTTTGAAAGGGTCCTAAGAAGCAATATCACCACCCATCTAGAAACCCATAAATTACACAACCCAGGGCAACATGGGTTTAGAACAGGTCGCTCCTGTCTGTCTCAACTATTGGATCACTACGACAATGTCCTAGATGCACTAGAAGACAAGAATGCACATGTAATATATACAGACTTTGCAAAAGCCTTCGACAAGTGTGACCATGGGATAATAGCGCACAAAATGCGTGCTAAAGGAATAACAGGAAAAGTCGGTCGATGGATCTATAATTTCCTCACTAACAGAACACAGAGAGTAGTAGTCAACAGAGTAAAGTCCGAGGCAGCTACGGTGAAAAACTG